GGCGGGTTTATGCGCTCGTTTTGCGGTTTGGGTTGTGTCCGTATGCGGCATTACGCGCCCGTATGCGGCTCTATGCGCTCGTTTGCGTTTCGAGCACGAATTTGTGTATGAAAGGATGCTCCAGGACAAGAATGGGTTGTGGGTTCGTAAGGTAATCCCAAATCCCCAAACCTGAACCCCGAACTCCGAATCCCGAACCTCCAACCCCCAACTCTAACCTTAAACCCTGAATCCTGATCCTTGTCTTCGAACCCCGAACCTCGAACTCCAAACCTCGAACCCGAAACCCCGACCCGCGAACCCCCGAACGTGAACCCCTCGAATCCCGATCCGGAATTCGAACCCCGAACCGCGAACCTCGAACTCCGAACTCGAGATAAGTTGGTTCGGAATTCGAGATTCGATCGAAAATTCGAGGGTTTGGAGGTTGGCACTTCAGGGTTCGAGGTTCAGAGGTTCGAAGTTTGAAGAAGCGAGCTCCGAACCTCGAACCTCCCCCTCAAAGCTGCTACCATCACCAACACGAGCCTGAGATCTGGCGAGTCCAGTAAGTACGCAACTGGTGCGACCAACCTCAAAGACAGGCTGCTCAGCGAGGCATTGTTGGGTGGGTTTGTTCGCCTTCCCGAGGCACCGCACGCAGCCTAAAAACACCTGTGAACATGAACTCGACGACCATGATGTTGATGATGATTGGTGACAATGACAACGGTGATGATGTTGATGATGAAGAAAGTACCCGAGTCGGGATCAAACACAATGACGACATCTTGCCCCTCCGTCATAGGGATGTAATTTCGAACGGTTGTTCAACATAGCCTACTTCCTCGGCTGAAAACCCTAAGCCTCAGCTCGTTGTTAGGACTTCGTCGCACACAAGGACATGAAGTGAAGCTTGGAAGCACTCTACATCCATTCTCTAAATTTTCTAGAAAAATCCTGTGTGTTTTTCAAGAAATTTACAGAATGGATTTCCAAAATTTCCCGCCAATTTTGAAGCCGAACAGGAGAGTAAGCCCGAGCCTGTCAATTTTTCGCAAATTTACGGCCCTGGGAGTTGCGTTTCGAGACGTTGTCGTTTCACGCGACTTGGGGGAGCGTCGCGCCTGCAAATTCTCTGAAAATTTAGAGGAAATCTTTACCCGAAGGGTGGCCACGCGAAAAAGGGTGAGTTGCAACGTTTTGCTTCATAGAGTAGACATGGATAGAGATGAAGATAACAAGGTAGTTATGATCGATCGATCGAGACATAGCTAAGTAATGCATTAAACTGAAATCCATAATAATAATAATAATCAAGAAATTCTCGTCTATCAGATCATCAGAAATTATTATTAAAAACTAATATTTCTAGGTACAAGACCGCTTTTTGGAGATCTTTAGACATCATTTCTGAATCAGGGGCGGGAGTTGGGTCTGGTAGGGTGGCGAGCTCTCGCGTCGTGGCTCTCTCTATGAGAGAAGCAAGGCTGAAAATTGTGGATCTGCCTGTACAAATGCCTTCACAAATCCAGCCGCGTGCCCCTGACTTATGTTCAGAGGAAAAGGCTATCTGGCACGAAATCTGAAACTTGAGATTTAGGAGTTAAACTGTTAAACCCTAAACCTAAACCCGAAACCCTCAGCCTCAAACCCTAAACCTTAAGGTCTGGGGTTTTCGACCCTGCAGCCTCTTTATTTACGGTTTGGGTGGGGTATAAGTTTAAGGCGTAAGATTGAAGACACAAGGGTTTATATGGCAAAGTGTACTTGGGTGTAAGATGAAAGGCTTCATCTACGAAGCCGAGGTTTCGAGTTCTGGAGACCTAAACCCAAAACCTGAACCCAACTTCCCAAGGACTCCGAAATCCCTTCATTAAGGAGTAGACCTTAAAATTGTAGTAGGATCCCTGATATGGTTCAAGGTAGATTCCTGAATTCAGGGGAAGTATGGAATCTCTGAATGTCTTAAAATTGTAATAGGATCCCTAACATGGTTTTAAAGGTAGATTCCTGAATTCAGGGGAATTATGGAGTCTCTGGGCTTGAATCCCTAAGGCTCTAAGGACTCATATCTTAAGGCGTTTGGGCCGAAAGACCATGCTACATAAGGCTTTTGGGCTATTTTGAGCCTTAGGGAATGTGCTTTGGGAGCGGGGAGATGGTGATGTTTCAGGTTTAACGCAATCTTGCTGCCTCGGCCCGATCGGTTGTTTAGGGGTTTAGGGCTTGAGGGGTTGAGGGGTTTAGGGTTTAGGGTTTGAGGGTTTAGGGTTTTAGGCTTTTAGGGGTTTTAGGGTTTAGGGGTTTAGGGTTTGGTTTTGGTTTAGGGTCTCAGGGTTTAGGGTTTAGGGGTTCGATTGCAACAAAAGCATGCATTCCCGACCAGATATTCAAATCCTGCGGCACAGACGTTAAACGGCCTGTACAGTCTAGTCATGCGCCGAGAAGCCTGCCGCTCTTTAGCTTGCCATGGGGCTTAAGGTTTTGGGTGGAGGGGCTTAGGGCTTAAACTTTGTCCTAATTTTCAACATTAAAACTTAGTTAACGAAGGCTGAACAGGGGAGCCCTATACCAAAAATCACCCTGGACCCTACCCCTAAACCCTAAACCGTCGTAAGCCTTGAAGGATAAAACCAAACAAAAAACATATCAAATTCCATGCAGCCCGCGGGAGGGTCTTTGGGGCCGAGGGGCTCCGGGCTCGTAGGGCGTTCTTTCCGGGCGTCTCGCAAAGGAATTCAGGGATTAGGTTAGGGTTTAGGGTTT